ATAGAGAACGTTTGAAACTTTTCCTCTGAAATCCTGTCCCCTAATGTTCTTGGGCCTATTCCTTCTCTCATTTGGACCAGAAGAAGCTGCTAGATACACAGACACATCCATAATCACCACATATGGTGCATGACAGATGTGTTTTCTATACCTATAATACAATAGGTATTTAATAATATTGTTATTAAAAATCTGGAAAAAAAATTCTCTCTCTTAAAAAGAGAACAAAACCCAATCCCTGTCCTTATCAACTGGGCAAAGTAGAAGGGTGTGTATATATATATATATATATATATATATATATAAATAAAAGAAGCAGTAGTTTGGCAGTTTCCTTTGCAGCTTAAAATGCAATTCTAGTAAAAGACTCTTGAAAGGGCTAACATGGTCCATCCAAATGAGCATGTTTATTCCGAATAAGTGAATTCTAATTTTAAAAAGAAAACAAGGAATTGAAATAAATAATGCATTAATGTAAAATAACTCAAGATTTTAAATTCACATCAGGAGTTTTTAAATAACTTTGATGCACAGCATGAACACACCCACTTTTTCAAGAAGAATTACTTGTCTAGTGGTTGATATACAGATGGGAAGAAACAAGATTTGAGTTCTGTTCCCAACTCTGTCACAGGTTGGCTTTGAGATTTGGATGTCAGTGGAGCCAGGGATTCAGCTGACACAGCTTATGTGTTTGTGTGCCCATAATTACCCTGTAGTAAACAAAAGCTCAACTAGAGCAAATTAGCCATCTTTCCATTTAGCTCCCTTCCCTAATAATTCACTTTAATTTGATCATTGGTCCATACCCTAGGTGCCTCTGTGGCTAAACAATACTACCTACTTTATAAGGTGTTGCAAGATTTAAAGATTTAGTGTTCAGAAAGCACTGTATGAACTTCAGATAAAAGATATTACAGAGAAAAAACTTTTATCCTAATTATTACATGCAGTGGTAACAGTACCCACCACTAAAGGCAAAACAGGCACCTCCTTGTAATCCCATATATCTTCTCCACTCTAATTTCCCTGTACTTGTCTGCCCATGAATCAGTACTAATTTCCCTGTACTTGTCTGCAGGTGCCTCCTGCAAGTGTGGGGGCACCATGGCAGTGAGCGGGGACCTCCCACAGCTGCCGGCCGCGGTTAAAGCGGTGGAGGGGGGTGGTGGTGAGCGGCGAGTGAGGACTGTCCGCAGACACTGCTGGCCATGTCGGCAGTAAGGGTGGGGGGTGGGAGCGAGTGACAACCACCCGCAGAAGCTGGCAGCAGCTTCAGTGGAGGCCAATCTTAGGGGGCCACATGCCCCCCCTACGCATCGCCTATGTGTTTGCCATGCGTTTGATATTATCTTTAATTTGGGAGGCTGCCCAGCCCACCCGAATGATTCCTTTGCCCCCTGGCTGCATTTTTTTGGGCCCTCAGTCCTTCACCTGAGGCTCAGTTCACTGGACTCTCACCCCTCAGACCCAGTTCACTGGGCTCTAAAGTCAGTCCTTTGTTATCTGCACACCCTTAGCAGCCTCCTTCTGCCCCTTCAGCCACTGCCATGCCTTGCAGCTCAAAGTGCAAAAAGCAAAACCCCACCACAACTAGTTTGCAGCTTGGGAGCCTTTCTAAAAGGCTGCCTCAAACTTCTACTCAGTCCCACTGGCTTCTCCCAGCTCTGGCCCTCTTGTGCCTATTCACTGTTCCCTTCATTTCTAGTCTTATTTCTCAGCTTGATGTAAGGAGCTCAGTGAGCCAAAGTTTAGTTTCCTGCTGCTTCCCTCAGCTCCCAGTTTTTGCTTCCAGCTCTGCCCAGGTCAGACTGCCCATCCTCTGCCTTCTACAGCCCCTGGCTCCTCTTTTTTCTGATCTGAGGTCACCTCAGCAGGCCATTACCTAATTAGCTGCCATAGTAATGGCCCTGCTTATTATCTTGGAATCTGCAGCTTTCTAACTCTACTGCCTAGCCCTACTCTCAATAATAAGGCTTGGTCCCTGTTGCAGCAGTGAGTGTACTAGGACATTAAAGTTTACACCATTCATATACAGCATGGTCATAGAAAAACTGCATGTGCGAGAATTCTTCTAAAATTGTTGTGGGAATCCCACTTTTAAAATCCTTAATGGACATGTATGAATCTCATATTACATTGATTTTCAACTTCCTGTCTGTTGTGAATATAAAATTTCATTTAAAGCTTAATCCTGTATCAACCTATTTTTGCTTGAGGGCCAATAGAATGCCTACATTTTTAGGATTGAGGTTCCCATGGTCTATGAAGTAATACTCATTAATCCAATAAACACCCTCTTTACATTTTTTACTTTTTGATCTGACAGCAGGAAATGGACAAAGAAACACCTGAAAAGACAGGTTTCTAACATCAAATATTTTTATTCAAAATGTCCAACTGTAAAATGCCTCCCCTTGTCGGAATTTTTTACTAGTTTATTTCCCCTGCCTTAGAATTACCTGCTTTTAAATAACAGAAACGCCCAGTACACCAAACCAGTTCACCGCACGTGTTCTCAGGAAACGCATATTAACAACCTTACTTTCTAAGGGCTCTCAGCTTCAGATACAATATAATATTTACACAACTCCGAGGCATTAGAAATCTGTTAAATACTCTTAATGCACATTCTTAAGTGCCTCTTACTCTTGAGAAAGATATGGTCCTTATTTGTCATACTGATCATATTTATCAGAGGCCAGATCCTAAAAGCACCTAAAATGTAAATGGAAATTGCTGGTACTCAGTATCAGGGCCTAAGAAATACACCTTTGCATGATTTATCCTCAAAGCTTGCAAATAAAGAAAAAAAAATTTGGCAACGTAATTTATGGCAACGTAACATCTAAAAATAACTGTGTGCAGCCGGGACTGAGCAGTACTGGTGGGTACTGTGCAGTCATTTAGTACTTGACCAAAGCAAGTACTCTACAGAGCATGTGTAAGCTTTTCAGATGCTTGGAACTTGGCCAAGATTTGGGCATATTTTCACAGGGATGACAAAGGGCACATCCTTGCCCCAAAGTGCCCCTTCTACTCCCTCTAAAACACAGAACATTCAAAGAAAACATTGTACAGTTGTTACATGAGTAAAAATGTAGTTTCTTGAGCCCTGTTCTCAGATATGAATGAAGAATCTTGGCAGAAAAAGGAGGCAAGCTGGCACATCTCTGTTTCACTATACAAACATTTTCCTCATTGCCTTGTGAAACACCTTGTTCCCAGGAAAACATGCCAGGGAGTTGGTTACATGAAATCCAATAATTCTGTGTCAAATTCAAGGCACCACTTTCAGGGATGACTGGCAGACTAGGTGGCAGAGAACTGGAAGGTAACTGTGACATCCACTCCAGATTGCCAAGACTGCAGCAGGAATATTTTCCGGGGAACTTGGGAATCAGACCAGAACATACCTTATTGTTCTGATTATAAGATGACCCTGCATATAAGTTGGCCCCCACATTTTTAGATTTAAATTTTAGGAAAAGCTGCCTTTCCCCCAAAATATGAGTCAATAACTAGAGAGTCCTTGTACTGCTTTGGCCCTACAAAATCCCGCCCCCCAAATCAAATACCCAAGGCAAGGCCCCTAGCCATGAACAACTGGTGCTTCCCAAGACTGGGGGGCACCATGGCAGAGAGTGGAGACCACCCACAACCACTGGCGTTGGTGTTGGAGGTGGCAAGCAGCGAGCGGGGGCTGCCCGCAGACACTGCTGGCGGCGAGGTGAGGTGGGGCAGATGAGAGTGGCAACCGCCCACAGAAGCTGGTGGCGGCTTCAGAGGTGGCCAATCTCAGGGGAAGCATGTACCCCCCTATGCCCCACTATGCGTTGCCTATGCCCCTAGTGCTTAAATGCACTAAAATATTAATGTAAAAAAACCTCTTCTGTCCCAAAGATAATTTTGCTCAAGACTTACCACATTATCTTCAGCCTAAAATTATATGGCACTTATTAAAAGGCCTACCTTGAATTGCAGTTCTAGATCCAAACTTTATGTGACACGTAGAGCTAAAATGTTAGATCCAAACTGCCCTGTTCCAGGGGTTCAAAATCCAAATTTTTCTAATATTTTGTGGGTATAGTGGAGGAGTAAGTGGGTGGCTGCCTGGGAACTTTGTGATGATTTCTTTGTTTTGTTTTGTTGGGAAATGCTAATTTGTTGAATCCAAAATGTTTCACTGAAGCCAGCAGTCTGTAAATCTCAATTTACCATAGGGCCCTCAGCACTTCTGGCTTCCTGAGGGAGGATTAATGCCTACCTCACAATCTAGTAAAGCAGACCAGAGAGGTCTTTTGGGACTTGGGTCACCCAGTCATTTTGGTTCTTCCACATGTGAGGTAATCCCACTGCCATGCCTGAGCGAACAACCCTTCATGGCACCCTTAAGTACAGCAGAGCCTATGCAGCACCCATTTAACAGGCAGCAAGTGTGACCCTTAAGTGGGTCACATAGGATCATTTATTCCACAAAATAATAATAGATTATGGATCAACTCCACAGATAAGTCAGCTGTGATTTTCATCATTCTTTTTCATGGAAAGAAGTAAACATATGACCAGAACATTAGGATCCTTGCTGCCTTCTCTAGCCACCCCCTGATTGGGTAGATTACTCCTGAAACATAGGATGATCCTCTGTGTAGATGCCCACTTTGACTTTGTGTGTACATACACTTCTCCACACATACAGGAAATAGGGTTTGAGTTTGGTCCTGTTTTGCCAGGATACTGGGAAGACAGGATTGTGTTGGTGAGGTCGTTACGAGGGAAAAGTTGTCGCTCTTTTCTTAAGGGTTTGCTACTGCATTTTCTTCTCTCTATAGAATGCCACAGCTGAATTTTCTCATAAATCCTTACTGATTCCATGTAAGCTGAAGGGATTGTATGGCTTTTGGACCCCCAGAGACTGCATCATCCAACAGGTAAGCTAATCTATCAGAACCAGAATTTCATGACTCATGGTGTATAACTAGCAAATGAGGATCTCTTACCTGTTGCTTTTTCAGGATTATTGCACATGAAACACTGCCAAGTTCCTGTTTCCTCACTGTAGCCAAATAAATCAAAGAACCTCACTTCTTCCAGATGCATCCGTACATGGTCCAGATCCTAGGCCAGTGATAAAAATTGCATAATGTGAACAGATATGACAGATGCACAATTTATTACTTGAAAAATGAACACACAAGGGTAAGTGCTTGTGGATTCATAAACTATCAGTGGAGCTGCTTGGTATGGAGCAAGCTCTCAGAGCTTAAAGATTTAGCAAGTGCCTTCTTTGCTGTGCTCTGTGCTGGCAAACAGATCATCTGGGCAGATCTGCTGCAAATGGGACTCTTTTGTTTTATATTCAGTAGCAGCTGATAATGGAAACACAGGTGGATCTAGGATTTGAAAATGGGGTCCAGATGGCATGGTGCATCATAGAGATGCTAGGGTCAGAAGGGACCTCAACAGAACATCAAGTCCAACCCCCTGCCCTGGGCAGGAAAGAGCCCAGGCAGATGCCTATCCAGCCTTCTCTTAAAGACCCCCAAGGTAGAGGAGAGCACCACCTCCCTTGGAAGCTCATTCCAAATTTTGGCCACCCTTACCGTGAAGAAGTTTTTCCTTATATCTAGCCTAAATCTGCTCTCTGTCACTATGTGACCATTGTTCTTTGTTACCCCAAGAGGCTCCCTGGTGAACAGCGCATCTTCGATCCCTTGCTGCGTCCCCCTAATGAATTTGTAGGCGGACACAAGATCACCTCTCAGCCTTCTCTTGCAAAGGCTGAAGAGGTCCAGTTCCATGTCTCTCCACATAGGGCTTGTCCTGTAAGCCCCTAACCATATGAGTGGCCCTCCTCTGGACCCTCTCGGGTCTATCAACATCCTTCTTGAAGTACGGCGCACAAAAGCGGATGCAGAACTCCAACTGCGGTCTGAGCAATGCCGCATAGAGGGGAAGTATCACCTCCTTGGATCTATTTGTCATGCATTTGCTGATGCACGATAAAGTGCAGTTAACTTTGCTGATGATTTCGTCACACTGACAACTCATGTTCATCTTGGAGTCCACTATGACTCCAAGATCCCTTTCTGCTTCTGTGCTGCTGAGAGGGTCACTTCCTAGCCAGTAGGTGTGCTGAATATTTTTGCACCCTAGGTGCAGCACTCTGCATTTGTCCCTGTTGTACTGCATCCTACTGTGTACTGCCTACTTTTCTAACCTGTCCAGGTCTGCCTGAAATTGTTCCCTACCCTCCAGAGTGTGCACTTCACCCCACAATTTAGTATCGTCCACAAACTTGGACAGAATACACTGCACACTCACATCCAAGTCACTGATGAAGATATTGAAGAGTACAGATCCAAGGACTGAACTCTGTGGAACCCCACTACCCACCTCCTTCCAGACTGATACCAAACTGTCTACTACCACTCTCTGGTTGTGACCACTAAGCCAATTTGCCACCCACCAGACCGTGTAAACATCTGTCATAGCCTCTTAATTTATTTATGAGACCAGGATGAGATACTGTATTGGAGGCCTTGCTAAAGTCCAAGAAAACGACATCCACCTCTATTCCTGTCTAAGCATTTTGTGACCCTGTCATAAAACGAAACCAGATTGGTCAGGTATGATCTACCTGCTACAAATCCATAGCGGTTTCCCTGCTGCATTATTTTTCCTGCTGGACTCCTACAGATGTGATCCTTCATAATCTTTTCAAAGACCTTTCCAAGGATGGAGGTGAGAATGACTGGTCTATAATTACTTGGATCCTCCTTCCTCCCCGTCTTGAAAATAGGGACCACGTTGGCTCTTTTCCAGTTCTCTGGGACCTGACCCAAGCGCCATGAGCACTCAAGCAGCCGTGCCTGTGGTTCTGCTATGACACTGGCCAATTCTTTCAGTACTCTCAGGTGCAGCTCATCTGGGCCTGCTGACTTGAACACATCTAGTCCATCCAAGTGACTCTACATCAAGTCTGCATTGACAGTTGGTAGGCTAGTGTCCCTCTGATGCTCATCTAAGAACCCATTAGGAGACTTATTTTGAGCCCTGTTCAGGAACCATGAGGCAAAAAACTCATTTAATAGCTCAGCCTTGTCCCCCCTCTCTGTCACTAATCGCTCCTCCTTGTTCAGTAGGGTTCCTATGCTGCCCCGTGCCTTCCTTTTACTCCCTACATACCTAAAAAAAGACTTTTTGTTGTCTTTAATTTGTGTTGCCAACCTCAGCTCTGTAGTTGCTTTGGCTTTTCTAACTGCCACCCTGCAAGTGCAGGCCAAGTAGGCATACTCCTCCTTGGTAGCTTCCCCCTGTTTCCACCACCTATATGCCTTCCTTTTTGCCCTTAGGCTCCCCTGGATTTCCGTGTTTAGCCAAGGAGGTTTTTTGGCTCCTTTCTCCGTTTTCCCTTGTATTGGGATAGTCTCCCTCTGTGCCCGAAGGATCGCTTCCTTTAGAAACGACCACCCTTCCTGGACTCCCACCTCACCAATACTCTTATCCTGCAGTGTGTCACTGACTAGACTCCTAAGCACACTGAAATTAGCCTTCCGAAAGTCAAGAACTTCCACCCTACTAGTTATCTTACCCACCCTATGCCGTATGGTGAATTCGATTGATTGGTGGTCACTGTCCCCAAGGTGACCACAAATCTGCAACTCCCCTACCAGGTCCTCCCCCGTAGCTAACAACAAGTCCAGTAAGGCATTCCCCCTAGTGGGACCGTATACCTCCTGCATTAGGTGAAGGTCCTGGACACAGGTTAAAAACCTACATGAACAGTTGGATTTGGCTGACTGCTCCTCCCAGCGGATGTCAGGGTAGTTTAGGTCCCCCATGACAACCACGTCCTTAGACTGTATGGCCTCTGAGAGCTGCCTTAAGAATTCCAAGTCTAGCTTTTCCTCTTGGTGTGGTGGTCTGTAGCAGACCCCCACCACCAAGTCCCTCTCCCCATGATCTCCACGTATCCTAACCCACAGTGCCTCAACTTTCTCCTCTTCTAATCCCATTTTGATTAGGGTAGATGTATAATGCTCCTTTACATAGAGAGCAACCCTGCCACCTTTCATCATTTTCTCCCATTAAAGAGAAACTAGAAACTTTAGTAATATGCTAAAGACTTAGTGCTACATTATTCAGTTTAAGATCAACACAAATATAGACATAACTTTATTGGAATGTTCACTAATTTGTTAGATTATATATTAAGTTAAAAAAAACACAAGAAATTAGGAAAAATGATCAAAATAGTCAAAAGATATTGTTTCATTACTTTTATAGTTATTATAGTTAAATTTACATCTTTTATTCAAATCTGTAAAGCAAAATCTAGTTTTCTTGAGTGTTTTGACAGTGCCTTCAATACTTCATTATTAGTAATTTCTATACCTGAGTTAATATAACCACACCTAAGTTCAGGATTTTAGCTAGAGCTAAAAACAGTCTACAGGGGTATTAAATAGAAGAGAGTTGTTACCAGGAATGGCTAACAGACAGAAAAACTGCAGAAGAAAGGATAGTTGGAACAGTGAAACATCAAGACCATTAAAAAGGAGAGAAGGTCATTAGGATCTATGGAGTGAAGAGACATTAGCAGACATCAGGTAGATTATAAAAAGCCATGAAGTCAATTGACTCCTGCAGTGCTGCCTCAATAGAAATGCCACTGCCCCTACTAGGCGGTTGATTTTAAAGTTTGGTAGAGCAGGTATCAAACAGAGGGTGCAACTGCACCACTGCAGTTCCCTTAGATCCTTCCCCTGTGCGCAAATCTTCTGAAGGTAGAAGGACTTTTTTGTACTCTTTGCCATCTGTGCTTTACTACTAGTGCCTGGCATAGCCTTTCACCACATGAACTTTTTAAATATTTTCAGGTCCCCTCTAATTATGATTTTCAGGGGCCTACAGTTCAGCAGTCTCTAGTCACAGTAGAAGCTTCTGGGAACTTCCTCCCTTTCAATGAATGACAAGCCAACACAAAGTATTAATAACTAACCGGTGGTCAAGGCCTACTTTTTAAAAGAAAAGATTAGAGGTTCTTGCTTGCCAGAACTCGCACCTCTGGGAACTCATGCTAATATTATATTTATTTCCAAAACTGCAGCAATGATGGGGTAAATTAATGTCAGACAAACAGCATCCGTATGAATGTAGAATTTTTATTCTTCTCGTGAGGACTGTCAGCAAAGTAAGAATTATGCATTTTAAAAGCAAACATAATGCTTGATTTGGTTCAAGAGATGTACCAAAATTACACCTGCAATGGCAATGCTTCAAGTTGGGACCCTCTCCTCTACAGTATTACTGACATGGTCATTAAGTCAGAGTAATTTAAAACCAGTTTTAATAGTCATAAATATGCCAGAATTAAACAAATACTGATATTAAATGACCCAATCAGCTATTATAAAAGCAAAGGAAAATGCTAAGACAGCTCTGAAAATGCTTCTATTTTATTTGCTTGGGGTCTTAATGTATCTTGCAGGTGTGTGCAGCAGCCAATACTAGACAAATTTATATGTAGGTTATAAATGGGGAGGAAAAAAAAGTTTCGACAGCAGCAATCATTCAGTTCACTCGACAGAGCACACAGACCTGTCAGGCACTGGTTCAGACCAGTGTCCCAAAACTTTTACAAAACAAAAGAGAAATGTGTTCACTTGCCCATAACTTTCCAGTGAGACCCAGCAGCCCTGTCTGTCATCCCAGGTCTCTAGGAAAACCCAGAATAAATAATTCTGGCCCAGAGCATTTTCCTAACAAATGTTAAAGGGGCTATTATACAAGTGGAGAATGGCTGGAACAAAGCAGCATTCTAGCTAGTGGGACCAGAGAAACCAGCCAAATCAGCTCTATGCCATCCAGAGCTGCTCTAGGCTGGAGGAGGCCCCAGCTGGCAGGATTCCTTGGATTTAAAGCTTCTTTGTACTGGCAGACTGGGGGAACATGCACAGATGTACCCCCCACCTCTTCTCCTCACACACAACAAGCTAATTTATTAGTTCAACAAGTTGATTTTTATCAGCATAATTAAGACAAGGAGAGATTCTTCCCTTTCTAAGAGGAACATGTACATAAATGGGCTCCTCAACACCCCAGAAGATGGGGCT